GCAGCAGGCATGAGGTTGTGGGCAAACCAAAAGAGGGGCTCGGCCTTATTTCCATAAGGTGTTTAGCTCATTCTGCAAACTTTTGGGAGGATTTCAGTGCAACGTTCTCACCGCTAACCATAGGCGACAAACCATCGCAAGCCGCTTTTAAGGAACTACAAAGTCATTGTACATGGCAGAGTTTCCTCTTCCTCCTCCTCCTGTTCCCCCTCCCTCTACCTCTCCCCCTCCTCTTCTTCTTCCTCTTCTTCTCGTTCTCCTCCTTCTTCCTCCTTCTCCTCCTCCTCTTCTTTCTCCTCTTCCTCGTTCTCCTCCTCCTCCTCTTCGTGTTCCTCTTCCTCCTTATTCTCCTCCTCCTCCTCTTCTTCTTCCTCTTCTTCTCATTCTCCTCTTCCACCACTTCTTCTTGTTCCTCCTCCTCGTTCTCCTCCTTCTCCTATTATTCTTCCTCCTTCTCCTCCTCCTCCTCCTCCTCTTCTTTTTCTTTCTCCTCATTCTCTTCCTTGTTCTTCTCTTTCTCTTCCTTGTTCTCCTCGTTCTCCTCCTCCCCTTCTTCTTTTTCCTCCTCCTTGTTCTCCTTCTCCTCTTTGTGTTCCTCCTCCTCCTCCTCCTCCTCCTCCTCCTCTTCTTCCTCTTCTTCTTGTTCTCCTCCTCCTCCACCACCTCTTCTTCTTCTGCTCCTCCTCCTCGTTCTCCTATTCTTCTTCTTCCTCATTCTCCTCCTCCTCTTCTTTTTTCTTTCTCTTCGTTCTCTTCCTTGTTCTCCTCCTCTTTCTCTTCCTCCTCCCCCTTCCTTCTCCCCTCCTCCTCCCCCTCCTCCCCTCCTCCTCCTCCTCCTCCTCCCCTTCCTTCTCCCCTCCTCCTCCCCATCCTCCCCTCCTCCTTCTCCTTCTCCTCCTCCTCCTCCTCCTCCTCCTCCTTCTTGTCCCTCTCCCCCTCCCTCTCCGTCCCCTATGTGGATCTCATCTGTGTGGAATGCATAATTTTATGCTCATGCTGTGTGTTGGTTTAATGTCTCCTTTCCCCTGTACTGAAACTCTTCGCTGCCATCTCCCTGGAGGTTTGCAGTCTGCTATCTCTTTCTTCAAACTTTCATCATTCACAACACCATCTCCCCCAAAGAATTTCCAGTATCTCATTTTTACCTTCCCCAAAGAAATATCATAACTGCAAACCTTGTTACTACTGTGGCCACAACACACACAAATAGTTACCAACAGGTGTTGGGAAGGACTGATGCCAGGAAGGCCCAGCTTGAAATCTTTCATTTTGGTCACCTTTATTACATTTCTACTGACACAATACAGGCGGGCCTTGAGTTACAACAGTTCATTTAATGACCGTTCGAAGTTACAACGGCCCTGAAAAAAGGGACTTATGACCGTTTTTCACACTTACAACCATTGCAGCATTCCCGTGATCAAAACTGAGACGCTTGACAACTGACTCACATTTGTGACTCTTTGCAGAGTCCCGGGGTCACGTGATCCCCTTTGGCAACCTTCCGACAAGCAAAGTCAGTGGGGGAAGCCAGATTCACTTAACAACCATGTTTCCTAACATAACCCCTGCAGTGCTTCACTTAACAACTGTGGCAAATAAAGGTCGTAAAACGGGACAAAATCCACCAAACAAATGTTTTGCTTAGCAACAGAAACTTTGGGGCTCAATTGGGGTCGTAAGTAGAGGACTACCTCTACATAGTGTCAACGCTCCTAACTCGGATGTTTTTGCATTGACAACAGATGGAGATGCAACCATTTTCTTCTTTTGCTTTTGCTTTTAGAGTTAGAGTTAGATGATACTGGGGGGAGGAATGTGCATGAGAGTCTAGCTAGACATAACAACACTGAACCTAGTGTGAGAACCAAGGTTATTGAAATAAGAGATGATAAAGAATTGGCAGGGCTGGAGAGCTGGAGGGGAAGCCCACATTTCAAACTAATTGGGGAATGTGATTTATGACTGTCAACTGGAGGAGGGAATTGTGCTTTGATACCATGTGCTCAGGGGAGGGGAATTCAGATTTTGGCTTTGCTTATGTACGTGCCGATGCTATGCTACTCAAATAAGGATTCTTTAAGGTTAACAATGCCTCGAAGTTCTTTGAAGAGTTTAATCTGTCGGAACCATGACACATATATGTAAACAAACAAACATGCCACTCCAGCCCTCTAGAAATGATCTTAAACTCACCAAGATTGGGAAAAGATTTCACCTCTTGGGTCCTCGTTTGGCTCAACATATGGATTTCTTTGCTGCCCGGTGGGAGGGTTCTCCCCAGAGAATAATGGGGGTGTGTCGGAGAACTCGGACTTCGGCACCACGAATTCTGAGGAGGACGCAGAATGGGGGGCATCCTTTTCTCTCTATAAAAAGAAAAACCCAGGTGTCCAGTGATTGAAATCTCACTCCCTCGGTTCAACTGATAAGGTAACCCGTTAGAATTTTATCTCTGCATTGATAAACTATAGCAGCAATGTGTCTGAGATGGTATAAGTTCTTCTGCTTGAGCGGGGGGGGGGGGGGCTGGAGTAGAAGACCTGCCAAGGTCCTTTCCAGCTCTATTCTATTCTAAAACATATAGAAGACTGAATGTGGAAAGAGAGTGAATTCCGAAGTTATTTTGCCTTTTAGGTGGCGTTCGAAGAAATCATAATACAACTCTGACTTACAATCATTTATTTAGTGACTGTTCGAAGTTTACAACGGCACTGAAAAATGTGACTTGTGACCGTTTTTCACACTTGCAGCATCCCCCATGGTCAAATGATCAAAATTCAGATGCTTAGCAACTGACTCATATTTACGACGGTTGCAGTGAGGTGGTGAGGCCCCTCCTTAAGAAGCCTTCCCTGGACCCAGATGTATTAGCTAACTATCGTCCGGTCTCCAACCTTC